CCCCCGCGCAGATGCAGATCCGCCGACCGCGCGGAGGGGATGCGGCGGGGCGGCAAGCGCTGGGTTCACTGAGGACCCTAAGGCTTTCGCTTCCCATCGGTAAACCGCGGGCAGGTCAATGAATTCAGGTAAACGCAAGAGGAACTCCAGAGCATCCGCTCACGCTGTTACGGTCCAAGGCTTCCAGAAGGCCTAGAGCCGCCCCATTATTTTATAAAGTTAAATCTGTCAGATTTTAAATTGATGCGATCTCCCTGTTTATGCCTTCCTTGTCGCAATACACATTCATTGCACGATTTAACCTTCCAGAAATTTCTACATCTAGATTTATGTAAAGATGGGATTATTTCCTGCCTGGCACAGAGTAGCTGCTCAATAAAAATTTTATTAGAAGGATTAATGAAGAATATTTATCTCAGAATTATTTTTATTTTTTAATTTAAGGAAAATACAGAAAATGGTCTGAATATCTAACAGTAAGAGATTGGGGCCGGGCGTGGTGGCGCACGCCTGTAAATCCCAGCGCTCGGGAGGCTGAGGCAGGAGGATCGCTGCAAGTCTGAGACCAGCCTGGGCTACAGCCAGACCCTGTCTCAAAAAAACAAAAAAAAAGTCTTATTTGGGGCCAAGGATTTAGCTCAGTGGTTCCAGCGCCTGCCTCGCAAGCACAAAGACCCGAGTTCAATACCTGGTACCAAAAAAGTAAAATAAAATAAATAAATAAATAAAATGTGTTTATGTATACACTTATGTTATAATTATACACATTAAGAAAAGACTTCAGGAATATTTACCAAAATGTTATCCGTGTCTTTGTGATGACCAAGTTCCCTACAATTAATAGATATTATTTTTTTCCTATAAGAAGAAAACGATAAAATGGCATTGTTTCAGGCAGATCTGGGGCTCTGATGCTAGCGTTCCTGGTACTTCTGTATCTCCCGACCATTTGATAGTGACTGAGAATACCTCAGAAGAAGATGTGGTAGTGGGTATAGTGACACGTGCCTGTAATGCCTGAGACGGGACGCTCTCAAGGTCAAAGCCAGCCTGGGCTATGTAGTGAGTTTGAGGCATAGGAAAATTTTAAATTAAATCATAAATAAAAAGCCTGTTCTCTATCAGTGAGTTTTCCTTTTTCAAATATTTACTGTTCCTGGTGTAAAATGGAAACTTCTGTCGTGTTCTTCATAGGTAAAAATTATGAGTGATACCAAAAATATTGTATATGGTCTCTGTTTGGGTTTAGATCTAAAATAGCCCCCAATAGGCCGAGATTTACCTTAGTGGTTCCGCTGCCTGCCTTGCAAGCACAAAGTCCGAGTTCGACCCGCAGTACCATATAAAATAGCTCCCCAAGCCTCATGCGTCTGGGAGCCGAGCGGATCGCGATGCTGTTAGAAGTGGGTCTGGCTGGAGGCAGGTGAATGGAACTGCATCTCCCTGCGCTCCTCCCTTCTCTCTTCTCCGCGTCCTGATCGCCATGATGTGAGCAACTCCTTCCGTGAGACCCTTCCACGGCAAAGCCTGCTGAATACGGACAGAACCTCCTGAAGCCCTGAATCAAAATAAACCCCTCCTCCTTCAAATTGTGAGTGTCGCTGGGACAAGAAAGTAATCAAAACAATCTCCCAGGAAAATGGAGTACTCTTTGAGATAAGAAGATAAAACTGTTCCGTGCCCCTCCTGGGCCGTCCTTGGACTGCGAGCTAAGGAGGAAGGCAGAACCTTCGTGAGTGAGCAAGATCGTGCGGCTGGTGGAGCAGTCCCTGCAGGCGGCGCCTCTGTGGCTCAGAAGAGAGCTGACTGTGGGGGACAAGGAGCGAGCGCGGGTCCTGGGCCGGGCCTCCTTCCTCCTCCCTCCAGGAGCAGCGCCGCGTGTGCTCTTGGGCCCCACTTCAGAAGAGCCGAGAACAGCCTGCCGCCCACAGCCACGAAGTGAGCTGGCACATCGATCGGCAACAGTACCGTGGCTGTTCCTACCGCCTCACACCCTATGTCCAGCTTCAGAAAGTAAAACACAGCTCTGTTTCTCTCCTGGCTTCCAAATTCGCAGGAAATGTCTGTTGGGACCGACGTGACTGAGAAGCACATGGAGGCTGAGACAGGAGGATCGCTGTGAGAGACCAGCCTGGGCTACACAGTGAGTTCCAGATCAGCCTCAACTACATAGTGAGACCCTGTCTCAAAAATAATAATAACAATAAAATAAGGCATACACACAGTAAAGGTAAAGTTGTATGACGATATAGGAAAAAAAACAAACCGTTTCCCGTTCTCAAACAATACCACGGTCTTACCTCTGTTTAACAAAAGCAGTCAATTCTCCCGCAGACACCAGGCCGGTATCGCCGAGTCCCTCGGTTGTGACAGCAGCTGGAAAGGGCAGCGGAGCCTATGGGCTGAGGGGCATCCACACGGCTCCCCACTTCGAATACCTCGGCCAGCGCAGGCTGGGCCACAGATTCCAGCTCCCCCAATCCCACCCCCGGATTTGGTTGATTTGCTGGGCAGCTCACGGAACCCAAAGAAATACCCGTGCTCCCCACTGATAAGCGAGGGGCGTGAGACAGGCTACAGATGAGGCCGGAACGGATGCACAGGGCGAGGTGTGGGCGGTCCCCACTAGGGACCTGGCGTCCCTGAGGGGCGGAGTCACCACACTCCCAGAATTCCAGGACTTCCATGGGGGCCTCACCCCAGAGGAGCGGGGGTGACTCCAAGTGCAGCCCGCTCCCCTCTCCAGAGGAGGCAGGAGGAGGGATGGCTCAGGGCTCCACGCTCACAGCCGCGGCATCGCCTTTCTAGTGACCGGTCCCACGTGGACCTCTTTAGGACGAGAGGCGATCCTGTCACCCAGGAAATTCCAGACAGTTCGACTCCTGTCAGACAACCCTCTTCTTAGGAGAGCTGTGCCAGGAATGAGCATCAACAACCAAACACTAGGACAATTTAACACCCCCTATTCTCAGGAAGTTGCAAGAGTTTTACGAGTTCTGGCAGAGATCAGTATGTGTATTTCTCACTAGTCCATGAGTAACCAGAAAGTATTATAACCATCGCAGTAAAAGCGAAGGAATATTTTTTAATTCTTTACCAGAAGACAGATTCAAAATTAATTTGAATTCTTACAAACTTTTCCTCTAGAGCATGGTTTTAATTATAATATTTTGAAGAGCAAAATACTAGCTGGCAAAGACACATTAATCTGCAATGACTTCTACTAATGCTAGTTTAGAAAGTGGTGTCACCCAATTGAATGGTTTATAAATGAACAAATCGCCTAATTAGAAAGTAAAGAAGCAACCTTGAAATCAACAAAAAATTTCAGATCCCAAGTCTGAGGCCAGCTGAGTCCTTGGCTGTGTCCTCCACCATGGATTTTTGTTGTGTAGGATTTTAGAGATGTTCAACAAACAGGGACCCGAAATGTGCTTTAGAAGTGAAGCTTGTTCTCTTGTGCTTCTGCTCCAGCCGTGAGAAGAACATGCAGCCCGGCCTGGCGCACGCCAGGAATCCCAGCACTCAAGAGGCTGAGGCAGGAGGATCGCTGCAAGTGTGAGGCCAGCCTGGGCTACATAGCAAAACCCTGTTTCAAAAAAGGAAAGAGAGAGAGAGAGAGAGAGAGAGAGAGAGAGAAACATGCATCTCCTCTTCCCCAGGCCATCTCCTCTCCCAGGCTGCTGTTCCCAAGAGAAACAATGAGAAAAAAAAAATGCCTTTCCCAACCTGTTACGCTTAAGAGAATAAGAAACACAGACTACTATGAACAGTCTGCTGGGACACTAACAAATTGGACAACACATAAGAAATGGATGAGGGGGCTGGGGATTTAGCTCAGTGGT